CTATTTGTAGAAGTGAGTTAAATTCTTTTTGATGTGGTGGTTGTATTTTTTATAAAGGATCGGAAGAAGGCCGAGTCTAGGTACTCAAATTTTGTTTTAATTGTATTTGGTAGGTTGTGTTGGGTTGGATTAGTTTAGATTTTGTGTCGAAAAAATTTTAAAAGAAGCTCTGATGATGAGAAAGTATTGATGATAGTATTATTATTCCAGATCACTATGTCAAATTCCTGTGTATAGGCTTTTGCTAGTGCAATAGTAACTGAATTACACCAGGTGAGTGAATGGTTATCTTTAATATATTTCTTTTTAGATAGGTTAAAAGTAAGTACACTGCTGTATGATTTTTTTGAAGGTGTGAGTGATTTAATAGTTGCATTGGATTGGATGTCCATCTGGTCATCTAACTCTTTGTTTGATTGGGTTTGTTATATAGGTTCATTGGGAGTTAATTGTTGTGGATCTGAGTTCCAGGGGTTATCTTGGTTGAGGTCTGGAAATGGATTGGGTGTGTTGTAATAATCAATTACCATGGCTATGGTTTGGAATCTTATATTGTATGCATTATTTCCTATACTTGTTTGTTTGTATTAATTCCCATGCTATTTTGTTTGTTTGTATTATTTCTATGCTTGTTTGTTTGTTTTGATCTAGTAATATTATAGTTGTTTTTGATAGGAGTTTGCTAAATTTTTTACTTTGAGTTAAGTTTTTTGATGCAGGAGATAAGGGTTCAATAGTAGCAGTAATGGGAGTGGTGTTTGTTGTGTTTTCAGGTTGTGAAATTATCTTCTTCTTTTTAAGTAGTAGTGGGTTGTTGGGTAAGGTAGGGTTTTGTTTTGCTGGTTGCTTGTCTAAGGTCCTGGTGAGATTTATCAAAGTGGTACTTGATTGAGTTGGAGAGATGAAAAAAGGTTCAAAGGCTTTAAAAGTAGAGAGTAATATGTTTCTGTCTCTTTTTAGCTTTGTGTATATAATTTGGGGTCTACTCAACAATACTTAGTATGCCCAAAGGGCCAAAAATATATATATAAACTATTTGTTTTGTATATTTGAGAGTGTTTTCCTTTTAATTTTTGTTGTTTTGATGATTTATAGGAAATTTGCCTGGAATTTTGAAAAGTATTTATAATTTTTTAAATAAAATTAAAAATTATTAATAATATAGGATATATTTTATATAGTTAGACCTCTCTAAGTGCACTTCTATAAGTGCACACTATCTATAAATGCACCTTAAAGTTTGGTCCCAAGCTGGGACAATAGTGTTAAGTGCATACTCTCTATGTTCTGCATGTGTATTTAATTTTACTATTAGGCTACCTTCTATAAATACACTATCACATGCTGATAAATTGTATTGACCAATAAAATTTTGCAGATGATGTGTAACTTCCATAGATCTAATTTTCAATTAATTCCTTTTTAATAAATTTTGCATTTTTTGTTCTTTTTTCTTTTTTTTTAAAAAAAAAATTTGATAGCATATTTATTAAAAACCGTATTTGATTAATTTATTTTTAATTAAATCTTTAATTAGATCTTTTTTAATTAACTCTTTAATTAAAAGAACAATCTGGTTTTAAAAAATGATTAAAAAAAAAAGTATTATATAATAAATCTGCCGCTTTAGTAGTCCCTCTAAATTTGATAAACAACGCTTTTGCATTCTCTAAGCAATATTCTTGTATCTCTCTAATTTTTTTTTTTTTTTTTAACATTTCTCGGTGCCTCTCTAAATTTGATAAATGACGTTTTTGCGTTCTCTAAGCAATATTCTTGCACCCCTCTAATTTTTTTACACTTCATTTTTTAAATAATGCCAAAAAGAACAACCTTAACAGACATACAAAAATTTGAATTCTATGTCTATGCCCATGATAATAAGTGGACCTGTCTAAAATATGTGAAGTGGATTGAAGAAAAATAAATGGTCAAAGTTAATGAGTCTACGATCACTCGAATCTTACAAACCAGGGACCAATGACTTTCTAATAAAATCGTAAATCTAGAATCTAAGCACCATAAAGCCGTTACCATACCAGAGCTTAAGCTTGTACTCAAGAAATTCATACTAGTCTATCAACACCACACTATTCTAAGCGATGCTATAATGATCGAAAAAGCAAAATTGTTAGCAGATAAACTTGAAGTTTCTAAAGACAAGTTGCATTTTTCTTCTGGGTGGCTTCAAAAATTTAAAGAGCGAAATGGAATCTGTCAAATAA